CAGAGAGGTTTGGTAACAAGCGCGGGAGGCTGATGCAAGGCCCAGAGCCATTAAAATTAATTATCAGCTCCAGCCTGACTTAGCCTGCAGTGGGTAATCAACCTGATGTCAGGTGCAGGCGTTGCAGGGCGGGGGTGGGGGAGGGGGCTGGTCTCATTCTCTCTGTCCTCAGTGGTATTTGTGGCAGCTGCGGAGGCTCCCCACCCCCTTCCTTTACAGCGCTACCTGTGGGTGGGTTGGAAACCAACTGCGGCCCCTCCTGCCTCTCTGCTCTGTGGCTACCTACAGAGGTGGCCCCTGGGAGCCCACCACAGCCCTTGTGGCTCCTCAGTCCTCAGCTCGCCAGGCGACTTCCTGAGGCGTGAGCTTGTGTCCTGAGCTGGCACCTTGTGACTGGTGAGCGTAGAGGACCCTGGGTGTAGGCTAGCAGTGAGGGCCAAATGTGAAGTTTGGAGTGCCGGACACCTCTGCTGGAGGACAGGAAGCCACATGCCTGGAAAGCTCTCAGTCATAACAAATTCACTGCCCGTCTCCGGTGCATCAGAGCTAGATCAAGGGCAGCTGTGAGCTGCTGGTGGCAGGTGCGGACCCCCACGTCCTGCCCGCAGATGCTGGGGTGCCGGCCACATGCTGATGAGCTGCTGCGCGTGCTGAACACCCTTTGCAGGCCCTCGCTGCCGCTGGCTCAGGGATCAGGGTCCGAGGCGCTGACCGATTCCTTCTGGGGAACTTTGAGCGTGTTTAGGGTGACGAGGGTACTAGAACCGCCGTGTGGCATCCTGCGCGTTCTCTGTGTCCTTGCAAGCTGCTGGCCAGGTGTGGGGGCTGTGTTCCATCTCTGGGTGGAGGTGGACATCTCGGCCCAGTTCTAGGGTAGGCACGGCCTCCTTCCTGGCATCTTCCCCTCTGTCTCGCTCTGTCTTCTCCCTGCGCTCCGTCCTGGAGCGCTGGAGCGGAAATGATGACAGTGCCTTCCCACGGTGCCACGAGATCCAAAGCCTTCTGCCCCGTTTCTGGAGAAAATGGAGCTCCAAGGAGTCAGTGGGGAAGTCTGCTGAGCACGTGCCTGCTCTGCCCCAGGACCCCGGTTGTGTCTTCTGCAGCCTCCTCTGGCTGGCACGGGCCATGGCCATGGGGCGCCTGTTTACTTCCAAGGCCACACTGGATTGCGTTCCTGGGACTTCTGTCCAGAGCATTTGTGAACTTGCAGCCAGGTCGCTTTCCTCTTCCCAGTGCTGAGCAGATGCCAACCGGGCCTGCAGGTGGCGTGGCCCAAGGAGCTGGACTTCTAGCACAGTCCCGTGGTTCCTCATACCCCCTGGCCAGTTTTGAGACTCAAAGCTTCATAGGATTGAGTTGGACCCGGAGTGTGACCTCCCATTCACTTCATGCTGGCAGTGGAACCTGTTTCTGAGGATATGGCTTTTCCTTCCAGTCGGGCTGTGAAGTCCAGCCCAGGGCTTCCCTACATCTCCTTCCGGTCCCCAAAGCTCTCATTCTGAGCAGTCCCTCCCTGCCCTCCCTACACGAGCGCTGGAGGGTGGTGTCAGGGCCTAAGTCGAAGCCACTGACATCTGCACAGCCAGCTGCAGCTGACATCTGGGATCAGACTTGACTTTCAGAGACACTGCTTCAGGAGCAAGCTCTGCCCTTCTCCCCGCTGGGTTCCAAGAGGCCTTGAGATCTCCTCGCCCAACTCAGCACCATCCAGCGCTCCTAGGGGAGTCCTGCGGGCAGCTGCGCCCTGGGCCGCCCCAGGCCTCCATTCCCTATTCTGTGGGGAGGCTGCCGCAGCCCCTTCTGCCACTTCTCCTCTTGTGCCCGATGGAGCAGGAGCCCAGCTCCGGGAACCCTCCCCAGAACTCAAGCCCAGAGACGCCATTTGGGGACTTCCTGCACCCTTTCCCTTCCCCGTGGCCTTGTCTGGGGCCTGAGCCCTGAGTTCCTTGGGGAAACCACTGACCCAGCCTGGCCCGAGAGGCTTTGGCTGTGAGGACTGGCTGGGCTTGAGCCCTTGCCATCCTCTCCATTCGGTCGGGGAGCTTCCTCAGTCTGCCCAGCTGCCTGTCTTTCCCAGGTCATGGCAGGGTGTAACAGGTGTGTGTCTGTCTTATAACTCACTGGCCCTGGGGGCTGACAGTAGGTTCATTACCATGATTTTCCTTGTGCCAATGGGTGTTGGCCAGGCCCCGGCCCCTCCAGGCGCACCACCTCTGTGGCAGAGGATGACCTCTTGGCTTCAGCACCGAGGCACGTCGGGGAACCTGTTGGACTGAGTGAAAGGCCAGATTGAGACGAGTTCCCAACAAGGTTGTGTGATGTTCTGGTCCTGTATCTGCAAGGCTAATTCCTCTCCCTACAGGGAGGATTCTCACATCTGTTGTCCACTAGTATAGCTGAGGAATGCTCGTCTTATTCCTGGACCCGTCCCTTTGGGTGGCCAGCAGGTAGGAGCCTAGAAGATGCATTTTTGTGGCCCTCCATTTGATGGACACGCTGGTTTGGAAAACCTTGCCTTGTATCCGCATCTGCACGGCCTTCCCATTTGATCAAGAATGTCCACCGATGTCCTCTCTGGATAGATCCTCTCCCCTCTCATGGGGAGTTTCTCCCATTTCAGAAAGACTGGCCCTCACTCAAGGCCTTGGGACCCACATCCCAGCCTCTCCAGACCTCTGGCTGCAGCTCTGAGCCACCTGCCGGTCTCCAGTGATTCCAGCTGGTCCCACCACTGGGCTTGGCTGCCGCATGTGGGCCTGTTGCCCACGCTTCTTCTGTTTCTGCAACACCCTCTCGCCCTCTCTGCTGCTCGTTCCACCTCCATCTCTGCCGTGTCTTCCTTTCCATGCATACCCCTGAGATCTAGATCCCCCAGGGTCTGTCCTTGACTTTGCTCTTGCTCATCATGTCCCCCACTCCCGCCCCTGGTGGCCTCTTTCTTTTCTGGGTGATATCTGCAACCTGAATCCCCGTTTCCAGTCCGCCCCTCACCCCCACCGTGTCCCACGCTGTTTAATGGCTCCACCCTCAGCAGGGAGAGTGGAAAACCAGAAAGCCAGATTTGTTCCGTGCACCTTCTCCTCTGTCCCAGCATCCAGCAGACCACGCAATCCAAGGACGCCACCTCCTTTGTCCCTGCAGGTGCCTGCAGCCATGCTTCCCTGGCCCCGTCATTGCTCCCTGGGCTTTGGGCCTCGCCTGTTCTGACCATCTTCCCTTTGGAGTCACAGCATGTGTTCTAAAATTCGAACTTGACCTTCTAGTTCCCTGTTTAAACTCTTCACGGCTGCTGCCCAGGACCCGGAAGAGGAGGGGTCAGCCCCCCCCCAACCCGCCCGCCGGCAAGACTCTCAGGAGTTTTTCAAGTCTGACCTCTGCCGACTCCAGCTCATTTTTTTTTTTTTTAATTTTAAAGGTTTTGTTTGTTTGCTGCATATGAGCCAGCCTTGCTTTTCAGCACTGCCCTGCATGCCTTGAGCCCAGCTCCTCCCCCATTCTGTGCTGTGAGTCCCATGCATTACGGAGCCCTTGGCCACTGTCTGCAGAGGTACTCTCTCCTCCTTCGCCTCCTGAGTGCCCACCAGCTGCCTGGAGCCCCTCAGCAGCCTGCTCTTCTGTGAAGTCTGTCGTGCTACAGCCACGCCCAGCTCATCGCTACTCCTGGTATGAGTGGCCAGTGTCCCTGCCCGAGTGTGAACTTGCAGTGGAGGCGCCAGGTCTCCTTCGCCTGCCTGGGCTCTGGAGTGCCAGGACCTTGGCCAGCATGCAGCTGATGCTCCATGGAATATGTTAGAACTGACACCTTGTGGTTGGGTAGAACTCTGTATTTAACAGGTAAGACTCATTTAAAATAATTAGCATCTATACATATGAAAATGTGCTAACATTTTTTTTTTAAGTTTACTGCTGAAGAAATTAAAACATTGTTTTTATCTCAAGCAGGTAGTCTTTAAGAAATTCATGGGAAATGTATGTTAAGAAAAAAATTCCATGGATTTCAGAATTTGTTTGCACCAAATAGGCTTATCTTCGAATTCCATTTTCTAGCAACTTTTTGGAGCATCCTTATAAACCCATTGACTTGATTTTCCACTCTGTGGTGAGTGCTACCGTGTATGACAAAAGGACTTGCCATCCATGCTTCCTAATGTGTGGGTGAACATATTATGCAAGTCAGTATGTGCATAACATGTCCCTAATTTTGTACATGTCCTATATTCATGAGCACATCAACGTGAGTGAAAGAGTAGTGAGCACAAGGTCCCCCCCACACCACACATGTGGTCTCCTAAATAGAGTGGAGAGAGTGAGCATGTGGCCAAACGGTTCAGATGCTGGTTGGGATGTCTGTAGCTGTATTGGAGTACCCAACTTCAATACCCAGCTCTGGCTCCCGACTCCAACTTCCCGCCAACACACACTCTGGGGACAGTGGTGATAGCTCAGTTGATTGGATCCTTGCCACCCATGTGGGAGACCTGGATTGGATTCCTGGCTCCTGGTTCGAGCCCTGGCAATCGCAGGCATTTGGGGAGTGAGCCAGTGAATGGGAGCTCTCCCTCTGTCTCTCTACCTCTCAAATGAATTAAAAAATAAACAAATAAAAAAATAAACACCGTGTGACCAGCCCAACCTGTCTTTTCCTAACATAAGCTGAAGTCTCTACTAATGTGGTTCATTTTGCACAGCCCTGGGCTCATGGGACCCTCTGCTGTCTGTGGCTAGCAGAGTACAGGATAAGGCCCATTGCTCTCTGATGGCGTCGTGACGTGTATAGCCATAGCAGTGAATGCGTAGTTCACAGCTGTGGCGTGGCTGGTATGAACAAGCCTACTGTGCTCTATGCAAGTATGGCCGGCAGCTGTGTGCAGTACAGAATACCTGCTGGTGATACGTGACTGTGCCGTGGCTTATGTGTTTGCTGTCCTGTACTTCTCATCATCATTTTAGAGTGTACTCTTTCTCTTCATCAAATAAATAAATAAGCTGTAAGACAGTGTGGGGAGCAACCCGGACTGGACTGAGTTACTGGAATTAAGACTTATTCTATGCATCTGCTCTCCCACAATATGGCGCTGGGAGAGGAGAAAACAGCTTCTACGCAGCTGCCTCTTGCCAACTTGAGTGATGACCTCCAGGAGCTGATCCTGCTCCTGATTGGAGGAGAGCAGCGTACTCGGCGTGTGGGCAGCCAAGTTGGGATTGGTGGAGGAGGACTATAAAGGAGGAGAGAGACAACATGCACCAGGAACATCTAAGGGGAACATCTGAGGGAACACCTGTGCAGCCCCCGAGAGAGCCGGCCGGCGGTGTGCCGCTCCCCCGCGGAAGTGGGGAATGTGGCAGGGGGAACCGCCCTTCCACGGAGGTGGAAGGGTCGGTAGCCAACCCGGGAAGAACCAGCAGCAAACCCGGGGAGGGCCGAGCAGACAAAAGAACAGCGCAGGGTCCTGTGTCGTTCCTCCACGAAGACGGGGAGCGACATAATGGTGCTGTGACTCGGATAGCAAACTTAGGAGGGAAGAAACGGGAAGAAGTGGAAAATACCGGAGAGAGAGACTAGCAAAGAGCCTAGGGGAAAGCCGGACAGAAAAGGTGCCGAAAGAAGCTATCGAAAGCCTAGGCATAGACTCGGATATGGACTGTGGGAAAGAAGTTAGGATTTAAAGTGAAAGCAAGAAGAAACTTAGACTCAGATACGGACTGCAGGTTGAAAGTGAAAGTGAAACCTATAAGAAACTTAGACTTGGATACGGACTGTGGGGAGAGGCCAGGAGAAATGAGGGAGGAATATTGTTGGAAGAAAACTTAGGGAAATATACCGGGTAGAGAAAAATGTTAGGGAGGATGAAGCCGCGAGTGCAGGCCGAGGCAGAAATGTAAGCCAGCTTGGAATTCTTTAAGTCAGCCCGGGGGGCAAAAGGCGAAAATCTGGAACCAGAGGCAGAGACGTGGGCCACCAGGTTGGAATCCGTCAGATTAGCCCGGGGAGCTAAGGACAGGAAGCCAGACCGAAAGGCGCAGACGCATGAGCTAGGTTGAATTCGCCAGGTTAGCCTGGGGAACTTAGATTGAATACTAGTGGTGGAAACGTGAGCTGGGGCTGTGTGACTCGCGGAAGCCACCGTGTGCAGAGAGAGCACGTGGCGTGAATAGATAGGGAACGCGGGGCTGGCGCGAGGCCGTGGTGGGGATGCGAAGGGCGTGGAGACCGCGGAGCGCGCGAAGCCAAGCCGCGCAAAGCCGGGAAGCCGCGCAGATGGGAGAAGCGCGGGCTGAAGCGGCTCAGAGCCGGGAAGCCGCCAAGAAGCAGCCTCGGGGTGGGTGCCGGGAAGCCGCAGGGATAAGAGAAACAGAAGTTTAGAAGTAAAATGAGAGAAATAGGAATGCTGGTAGATAGAAGTAAAATAGGAGAAATAGGAATGCCCGGAGATAGAGAAATAGAGAAAGGCCTCCCCACAACACAGCAATGAGAGAGCTTGGATTCGGTCTGCCTGATTAGGGAGGTGGTGAGCACCTGCGGGCGGCTAGCAGTTTATGCGCCACAGGTCACCGAAGACAGGCACGAATTAACATCAATAAGTCTCCCCACAATACCGCAATGAGAAGGCTTGGATTCGGTCTGCCTGATTAGTAAGGTGGTAAGCACCAGCAGGCAGCTCGACCAGAGTATGAGCTGCAGGTCACCGAAGATAGGCATGAATCAACACCAATAAGTCTCCCCACAATACGGCAATGAGAAGGCTTGGATTCGGTTTGCCTGTTAGGGCTTGTAAGCACCTGCAGGCAGTTCTAGCAGAGTAGAGCATGCGCTGCAGGGCACCGAACACAGGCACGCATCAGCGCCTAAAAACCTCCTCACAACATGGCGAAGAGAGGACCCGGATTCGGTTTGCCTGATTGGTAGGACTTGTAAGCACCTGTGGGCAACTCTAGCAAGCAGAGCAGAGTGTGTGCCGCGGGGCACCGAAGACAGGTGCGTATCAACGCCAAAAAATAAAAAGAAAGGGGGATCTGTGGGGAGCAACCCGGACTGGACTGAGTTACTGGAATTAAGACTTATTCTATGCATCTGCTCTCCCACAATATGGCGCTGGGAGAGGAGAAAACAGCTTCTACGCAGCTGTCTCTTGCCAACTTGAGTGATGACCTCCAGGAGCTGATCCTGCTCCTGATTGGAGGAGAGCAGCGTACTCGGCGTGTGGGCAGCCGAGTTGAGATTGGTGGAGGAGGACTATAAAGGAGGAGAGAGACAACATGCACCAGGAACATCTAAGGGGAACATCTGAGGGAACACCCGTGCAGCCCCCGAGAGAGCCGGCCGGCGGTGTGCCGCTCCCCCGCGGAAGTGGGGAATGTGGCAGGGGGAACCGCCCTTCCACGGAGGTGGAAGGGTCGGTAGCCAACCCGGGAAGAACCAGCAGCAAACCCGGGGAGGGCCGAGCAGACGAAAGAACAACACAGGGTCCTGTGTCGTTCCTCCACGAAGACGGGGAGTGACAAGACAGCCTTGGGCAAGTCGTCCAGGAGCTGCCCACAGGAAGATGTTGTCACCACGGGGGGTGGCAGCTGCTGCATGCAGTTCTGCCCCTGCAGGCCGTGCAGTAGGACAGGCGTGGAAGTGGAGCATGGTGACACTGAGGATCCTGGCTCTGCGTAGGCCTAGGCCCATGGGGGGTTTCTTTGTCATTGTTTTTTTACACATACAAAAGCAAAGTTTCAGGGGGCTGGCGCTGTGGTACAGTAGGTTAATCCTCTGCCTGCAGTGCCAGCATCCCATATGGGCACCAGTTCTAGTCCCGGCTGCACCTCTTCAGTACTGGCTCTCTGCTATGGCCTGGGAAAGCAGTGGAGGATAACACAAGTGCTTGGGCCCCTGCAAGCTCGTGGGAGACCTGGAGGAGGATCCTGGCTCCTGGCTTCGGATCGGTGCAGCTCTGGCTGTTGGGAAGTGAACCAGCAGATAGAAGACTTTTCTTTCTCTCCCTCTCACTGTCTGTAACTCTACCTCTCAAATATATAAACAAACTCTTTTTTAAAAAAAAGTTTCAAAAAAAAAAAAAAAGAAACTTTAAGAATAGAAAAAGCGGGGCCAGTGCTGTGGTGTAGCGGGTAAAGCTGCTGCCTGCGATGCTGACATCCCATATGGGCACCAGTTCAAGTCCCGGCTGCTCTACTTCCAATCCAGCTCTCTGCTATGCCCTGGGAAAGCAGTAGAAGATGGCCCAAGCCCTTGGGCCCCTGCACCTGCATGGGAGACCCAGAAGAAGCTCCTGGCTTCTAGCTTTGGATTGACGCAGCTCTGGCCGTTGCAGCCATCTGGGGAGTAAACCAGCGGATGGAAGACCTCTCTCTCTCTCTCTCTCTCTCTCTAACTCTTTCAAATAAATAAATAAGTCTTATTTTAAAAAAGGGTCTAATTTAAAAAAAAAAAAAGGGATATAAATAAACTTTATTTTTCACAGTGTATAATGTGGCTTTTTTTTTAAACAGGGAGGGGTCAAGGAGGCCAGCCTGCAGGCCATCAGTGTATGCCCTGGGGTGGTTCTCCGCCCCCAATCTTGCTCTCCTAAATTTGCCTCTGTGTCATCCCAGCCACCCCAGCTCCCTCCTCGGAAGCCCTAGGTCCCTGGAATCCTGTTCCAGATGTGGCCAGCTGTCCTTGCAGGCAGCTGCCCTGCTGCTTCTTCACTGTGGGGCCTGCTTCTCATATGGCTTCCAGGGGATCCAGGATGCTGCTGGGCCCTGGCAGCCCCACGCCGTACCTGGCCCGCTGACCTCTGTGCTTTGGAGATGGCCAAGAGCTGGCCCAAGGTCTGAGCGGGGAGCGCCACTCAGAGGACAGGGGGCACACATGGGCCGCTCCTGTTGCAGTTCTCAGGGAGGGGCAGCTGGGCCCCAGGCAGCAATGGGCACGCAGGCCCCTTGGTCTCCGGGCACCCTCTCAAGACCGTCCTCTCTGGCCTCTCGCAGGGACATTCGTCTCGGCTTTCACCGTGCTGTGTGGGGCCCGCACCGACCTCCCAGACAGGCACGTGTGCTGCGTCTTCTGGCTGAACATCGCCGCGGCCCTCATCCAGATCCTCACGGCCATCGTCATGGTGGGCTGGATCATGAGCATCTTCTGGGGCATGGACATGGTCATCCTCGCCAGTGAGTGGCCACAGGCCCCCTGGGATCGGGGATGGGGTGGGGGAGGGGCAAGGCTTGGATGGGCTTGGGAGGCCTTGGTGCTTGGCTGAGGTCTTGCTCACCACCAAGGACAGGTGCTCCTCAGAGCTCACAGGTGCCCTCCTCACTAGCACCTGTGGCTGCTCGGCACAGGGGGCTCCCACTACCACCCTCAACCCCACGCCTGGTCCACTCCCCGCAGGTCACTGTGAGCGGGTGGCAGGCAGGGCTCTGCTCGGCCGAGAGCCAAGCCAGCAAGCGTGAGGAAGAGAGAGAGGGAGCCCCTCTCCAGCGATGACACCTCGGTCACTTGTCAAGGAAACAGGAGGACAGACTGGGTACCGGTAGCTGTGGCCTCGTGAGCTCAGCCCCCTGGGCCCACCATTCTCTGTCTCCACCATGCAGTTCTCAGGAAGAAGACAAAGGCTGCTTGGTGCATTTGCCCGGGGGGAAGCGCGTGGCCCGGCGGCACCAGTTCCTCCTCCCGCCACCCCAGCTCTGAGTTCGGTGGCGCTAAAGCCTCATGAGTCCCCCCACGTAGTGAGTGGGCCTTTACCAGTCACCTCAGGCAAACTGGATCCAGACCCAGGTGCTTGGTGTATGGGCTTAACTTGCAAAATCAAGTTCGCCCAGGACTCCTTGACTGCCCCATTTGAAACAGCCTAGCGAAACCTCAGACAGCTGTGCTGGTCTCCCTGCACCACCGCCCCATGCTTCCCCGCTGCTCAGACCTGGGGACCACACTCCCTGGCGCACTTTGCCCTTCATGCCACCTCCCACCCTGTTCTCCTCCTGGTGTTGCACCTGTCAGAGCCAGAGGTAAGCCATGCAGGGGAAGGACAGCAGGGCAGGAAGGGAAGCCAGAACTCAGGGGCCCTCCAGCGGGTCTGCAGCTCACTCAGCCTGAGATCAGGACCCTGTGACAATCCGGAATCTAGGGCTCACACCAATGCCACAGCCAGGGTCAGTGACCAGTCAGGCCACTGGGCAAGGGAAGATGCAGGTACCAGAGCTGCGTGAGGCCCTCAGAGCCAGTGGTTTGGTCAGACAGTCTGCCGGAAGTGGCTCTTCTGGGAACAGAGGGCAGGGGAGGAAGTGAGTTGGCCGCACTGCCAGGGTACTCTAGAGTCAGAGCAAAGCAGGCAGACGCTGGGCAATCGGGGCAGCCGGGCGGAAGGGAATACCTGGCCTGGCAGCACTGAGCGCTCTAAGCAGTGGTGAGTGTGTGTCCCACGATGACCTGTCTGTCCTGGGGACGGCTGGATGGGTTGTTTCTGTAACAATGAAGACACCCGGCAGTTCTAACAGCACAGGTTGATTCTTCGGCCCTTAGCGTCATCCAGGTGTCCTCAGCAAACACACCATCCAGGAAAACCCCCCTGCAGGGAATCGGAGAAAGTACAGGTGACAGTACAAGTTAAAATCAGGAGCTTGTCAGCCTGCCGTGGTCCTGGGTCAGTAAACACTTGGCAGCTCTCTGGTGGACTATTTCTACTGCCACACACATGGCAGACTTTGCTAATCCATCAGGACACTTTCTGCGGAGCAGTCTCCTATTTGCTCAGCACAGGGCTGCAGGCAATCACTGCCAATCACCCCAAGATGTCTGCACAATAAAACCTACTTGCCCTCCTGGGGCCTGGGTCTGCCCCCAGCATTAGGTTTCCTAGTTGTGGCTCTTGACCACAGACAGGCCTAACCACGTGGCCAGCAGGGGCACCGTGGCAAGGGGAGGCTGCTGCCGCCCAGCCTGTCCTGCAGCTGTCCTTTCCCAAGTGCACCCTGAATTCATCTCCAGGCAACCAAGGGCAGGAAGGGAGCAGCAGCAGGAGGTCCGCTGTCCTTGGGGGATCTGAGCAGGCCTGAGACAGAACTTGACAGTATCAGTGGGAGGGGAAGCCATGTCCATCCACATGGTGGGCTGACTGCGGGCCAGTGGCCAGCCCCTGCGCACATGGAGGCTGCTTGTGTGAGGGCCTGGTTGCTGAGAAGCCACTGGCACAGCCCTGTTCTGGCCCTTAGTCCCTCTGTGGGTCCTCCATCCTTTTACGTTGTGTATGTCCCTGCGGCCTCTGTTTTCAGACTCTCTCTCTTTTTCTCCTCTTCCTCCTGCTGCCTCACCTCTCTGTGCCGCTGCAGTTTCCCAAGGTGAGTCTTCGGTGGATGCACAGCTGGTGCCTGGGGCCCTCCCCTCCCCTGGAGCCCCGCCCCTACACACACACACCTGCCTCTCCCACTCAGCCAATGGGCTTTTCACATTTTGGGAGAATATTTTTAGAAAATTATTAAATTTTATTTATTAAAAATTCATTTGAAAGAGAGACAGAGAAATAGGCAGATCTTTCAACTGCTGGTTCACTCCCCAGATGCTCACAACAGCTGGGGCTGGGCCTTGGAGTAAAAAGCCGGGAACTTAATAATCCAGATCTCTCATGTTGGGGGCAGGGACACAACTACTTGAGCCATCCCCTGCTGCCTCTCAGGGTGCAGGTCAGCAGGAAGCTGGGGCTGGAAGCAGGGCCGGGTCTCACACCCAGGCCCTCTGATATGGGATGTGGGCATCACGAGTGGCATCTTAACTGCTGCACCAAGTGCCTGCCCCTGTATTTGGAAAATGTTTAAATGTAGGCAAAAACAGCATGCCTGGTATAATGAGTTGGAGATGCCCACAGCAGCTGCAGCTCTGATCAGTGCATGGACATACTTGCCTGTTCCATTACGCCCATCTCTCTCCCCCACGCACTGCCCAGCCCTGCATTATTAGCACCTAAAATTGGCAAAGAATCTGCTAAATGAAGAGAAGTTCAATAACGTCTTCAGGCAACGTGAGCTGGCTAATAGGCGGCAGCCACTCAGTAAATTCCACTCATGTGGCCAGTGATGTGGCACGGCAGGCTAAGGTGACACATAGGACACTGGTATCCCACGTCAGAGTGCAGGTTCATGTCCAGGCTGCTCCACTTCCTATCCAGCTTCCTGCAAATGCACCTTGGAAAGCAGCAGATGATGAGCCAAGTACTTGGGCTCCTGCCATCCATATGGAAGACCCAGATGGAGTTCCTAGTTCCTGGCTTTGGTCTGGCCCAGACCTGGCTGTTGAGGCCATTTGGGGAATGAACCAGTGAGTGGAAAAATTCTCTATATCTATGACTCTGTCTTCTCTCTCTGTTACGCTGCCTTTCAAATAAATAAATCTTTAAAAGAAAAAATTCCACTCATGTCATTTCAGCCATAAATATTTCAGCAGATATCTTAAGAAAAATAACATGAACACAATCCCCGTTTACACCCACATAAATTAGCAACCATTCCTTAGTACCAACAGTGTTCAGATTTTCCCAAAGATCTCATAGTCATTCACGAAGTTTTAAAGGCTCCCAGTCCTTGGGTCCTTCTCCTGTCTCCGCAGTCCAGCTAGTTGGCCCTGTGCAGAGATGGTTACTCGCTCTGTGTGCTGGCTTCCTCTTCCCTCCTCTCTATGCACCTGCACCAGATGCATATCACTTGGGAAAGCTGCCTGGCACCTCCTCCCAGGGCTCTGTATTGGGAAGCCATACCAGGCCAGGCTGGTGGGGCCGCTGTGGTGCAGGGGCTCTTGAGTGTTAGTGCAGGAGCGCATCTTCCAGGCCCACTCCAAGTGCCCCCCGTTCATATATTCCCAAGATACCCAGTATCCTACAACTCTTGACTCTTGATGCATTCTTTGCTGTAAGAAGCCAGAGGCCTCGGGAAGAGGTGCCCTGGCAGTACCAGTCAGGCACACTGTAGCGTCAGTGAGGGCTCGTGCCCATGTTCTGGCCTGGAGCAGGTCCTGGGGAAGTCGGGGGCGGCCATGACTCTAACCATCTCTCCTGTGCTGCTTCTCCACAGGCTACAAGGAGCAGGGCATCCCACAGCAGCTGTGAGCCCACAGGAGCCAGCGGCAGAGTCCAGGGCCACAAAGACCTTTACATGTTCTCTTCTGCTCTTCTCGGATTTGGGGTGGAAAGGGGCTATTTTTAAAAATATTATTTATTGTGAAAACGCATCTGCTTTTCTGGGCAGGCTCTGAGGGCTGCCAGTCCCTCCTCCTGTTCCGGAAAGCATTGTAGGCGCAGCACCCGGAGCGCTGGGGAGTGGGGTGGAGATGGCAGTGCTGACGGGGGGCTGGGGTGCTCCAGCAGGCTCATCCCTGCCTGGCAGTGCCCACCGCCCACCGCACGGGCACATTGGAGCTGCTGGGCTGGGCCACGGTCCAGGTGGGCGAGCGCTTGCAGGGAGGCAGGACTGTGGTGGTCCCCTCGCCCTGCCTCAGAAACCTGGTGCCCCCAGTGTTTACTCTGTGGCCTCATGGGGGCAGCACCACCCCGGGCCTCAGGGAGAGGACGGGTCCCTGCGGGTGTCTCCGGGGCCTGCACTGCCAGCCGCCGTGGCTGTGCTTGGCCCTTGTTCTCTGCAAGGCAGTGGCTCTATCTCAGAAGTGAACGCACTGGAACGGCCGGATGTTCACGCGCAACATTGCCAGGCCCGGGGGTGAGCGGCCACAGGTGGGCGCCTCCCACCTGGCCAAGTGACACTGTTTCTGGTCCACATCCCTTTACCTGAAACCCCTGGGGCCAGAAGTGTGTGTGAATTCAGAAGGTTTGGAGCTGAGAACCGTAATGTGAGCCACCGACCCGAGTGCTTCCTGACACTGCGGCAGATTCTGGAACACCCCCCACCTCACCCCCACCCCCTACCCCCGCCCCTGCGGCAGCAAGCCTTCAAATGTCCCTGCAGAGAAAGGGGGAAGAGGCACAGTCACTGGGGGCCCTGAGTGCTGGAAATAGCCTCGCTCAGGCCAGCTCAGAGGGTGCTGCTGTTGGGGGTGGGGGGATCCTTACCGTCTGAGAGCTCGTCGGGGCTCACAGCTGGGAGACAGGTGTGTGGGGCTGGGACCTCTGTCTGAACTGCTCCTTGCAGACAGACGGAGACACTGCAGGGATCCCTGCAGTCGCAAAGGGACCATGGGGCCAGAGAGAGAGGAGAGACCAAGAGAGGTGGTGCAGGCTACTGTGGACCAAGCACCCACCTGAAACCAAGAGAAAGGAGAGCCCAAATCGCAGGGGCAGGATGGACTCTGACAAAGGAGGTGTGAACAGTGGGGACGGGCCCAAGACCTGGTTCCCACTCCCCCAAGCACTGGGGATGTCCAGTTTTGAGGAGGGGCTTGCCTTGTCTCTCAGAGACTGGTCAGGGCTGGAGAAGGGATGTGTCTGGCCACCTTGTCTGCCCGCTACCCTGAGGCCTCTCCGCCTTCCTACTGGCTCTCTCAGCCTGGTCCTGCAGGGAGCAGGCCTGGGGCTCCTTGCTTGCTAGAGGCACCCCTGGAGAAACAGACCCCCTGTGGCCACTCACCCACCCCGGGCACCCACCAGGGTGGGGTCCCAGTCCACCCCTTTGCTCTGCTGAGCGACTGCCCCCTCCCCAGCACTGGCTGGGCTGCCCTGTTGGAGGACCCAGCCCTTTCTTCATCTCTTCCTGCTGTCTCTTCCTCCTGACCCCAGGCCTCGGTGGCTTCAGAGCAGGGAAGCTGATCGGATTTTATCCCAAACGCTGGGGCCTCCTCTGGGCTGGCAGCTCCCTGCTCTAGAGGCAGCTGCACCAGAGTACAGAGCTGCCTGGTAACAGAGCAAACAGCTCAGCTGAGGGAAAGAGTGGGCTCAGCCCCCGGCCCATGGCCCCTGTGCCTGCCCCCTCAGTGATGACGGCTCAGAGGGCCCACTCCCACAGGGGGAGAGGAGGATCGCGTTTTCCTGGCTTGGGCTGGGGGTGGCTGCTGAGGGGGAAGAGAAGAGATAGCAATTTATGTCGCGTGTTTAGTGACAGGATCCAGACGCGGGTGGGCGTGTCTTGAGTGGCAGGTATCACCGTGAGCCCCAGTGTGCGACGGCTTCATACAGGGGCTTGTGCTCCGGGAGGGAGGGACCTCTCCTCCCTGGAGGGCTGCTTCTCCAGGTTGGAGCACACATCAGCCTCAGAAGGAAGCCTCTTTCCAGGTAACAGGTGCGTGGGAGAAGCTGAGGGGTCCCCCCGCCTGCCTCTGTAACAGTGAGTCTGCGAGGGTTGCCACGTAGGTGGGACCAGCTCAAAATAGCATCCGCTGGATCATCCCACTTCATCCAGTGCTCAGGGGCAGCGTGGTCTGAGCCGGCCCCTCCGCCTGTCAGGTGCACACCTGTAAATGCCACCCACCATTGTTGAGCAGAACCCCTGGGCCTGGCAGTACTCCGTGCACGCACAGACCACTGGTGACCAGGCTGGGCTTCGCCTCTGTGTGCAGCACAGGGCTGCTGGCCACGAGCCACAGGGCACACTCCAGCTTCAGGCTGTGGCATTCAGCAGGATGCTCTGGCTGAGGGTGTTTGGGGCTGGAATCTAGACTCAAGGACACACTCCCAGGGCCCCTTGATGACATGGTGATCAGAGTGTCCATGTGCTCATGCCAGAGCAGGATTCTGCAGCAAGAATGAGCCACCAGGTGGCCTGGGAGTCTCTGTGGACAGTGGGGCTGGTTGAGGACGCCCAGCTGCGAAGGCCAGCATCCTGGAGGGGAAACGGGGTGGAAGGCTCCTGGCTCCAGGCCTGGCCCCTCTGTCCTGTCCCTGGCCAGATGCTGGTTCTGTGGGGTAGGGGTGCTGCTGCCGAGGCCCACTCCCCAGCCTGACCCAGCAGGACAAGCTCCTGGCTTTGGCTTGGAGACCGTTTCTGGCTGCAATTGAGGGGAAAGAGGGAACGTGCAGAGTGGGTCACAGCCCCCATGCTGGGTACTTCCCTGGGCACGTGCTGATTATTCTGCCTCCTCTCCCCTCACCAGCGGCAGAGAGGAAGCCAGAGACCCCAACACCTGGCTCAGAAGGGGCAGAGCCGAGAGTGACCAGGACTAGCCACCTCCACAACCAGTGCAGGCACTCACCGCGGCCCTGCCCAGAGGCAGACCCCTGGAGGGGTCTTTGTTCCCCCTCCTCATAACAAGGCGAAACAAGAACCTCCCTGGGGAGAGCCATACGGCCCCCACCCTGCTCCACCATGCTCTCCACCCTTGCCTCTGCCCAGGCAGCCCGCAAGCCCACTCTCCCTCACCTAAGGGCGGCCCAGAAGGGGTGCCTTTGGTGAAGTTGTAAGAGGATGGTGGCTAGAGGTACGGCTGGTGTGAGGGGCCAGCCCAGGATTGCAGCTGTGCCATCACCATGAAAGCACGCGCTGAGTTGGCTTCATGCAGGGTGCCCTGGGCTGAGGGGCAGCGGGCAGGACAGGCACGAAAGAAAAGCCCCATGATTGATGTCTCCCCTGAAGGGGAAGGGACCCAGGATCTCAAAAAAGGAACCACTCACAGACCCATGACACTGAGCCCAAGGCCAGCGCACAGTGGGGCTGCAAGCCCGGGACCAGGACAGATGCCTTCTGCAAGGGGAGCCAAAATGCACCAGCTCAGCTCTTTAAACAAAGCAGAAACCCTGAGCTGTGCCTTTAGCCAAGCCTTCCCTGTGCACATTGGTGAGTTTTGGGGGATTCATTTCTGCCATGCCCGAACCTGGCTCCTGGGTCTGCGTTGGGGAGTCCAGCTCCCTGGGGCCTCATCCTGACTCCCAGACCAGCCTCAGGATTTTAATGACGTGGCTGAGCATTGCAAGAACAGCTTGGGGTGCATCTTGCAGCAGACAGCTGTCCGTCAGTGGTGAGAGGCATCACTCACTGCCACTGTGACTCCCTCTGGTTGGGCTTTCATCAGGGGCTTGCCAGTGGGGGAGCCCCCCAGAGGCCATGACCTGCTGCCACACACACCACCACCCAGGGTCAGAAGTGGGGCCTGGGGCTGAGACTCGGTGTGTCCTCTCTGTGTAGTTGGGAGAAGTTACCTGCTGGCCTAGGGCAGCCCTCACCCCCTGCTTGGTTTACTGGCTCAGCAAGCTCCCCAGGAGTGACCCCGTGGGACTGTACTTGAGCAAAGGGTGGCCCCCCAACCACAGCCCTGACACTGCCCAGCCTTCACAGGTGAGGTGGGAGTGGGGCACCTTCTCCCTGCAGAGAGCTCCGTGTGCAGGTTGCAGGGATGTGGAGGCCAGCTTGGCGGGGGAAGGGCAGTGTCCCCCTGGACCAGCGTGGCTGTGCAGAATAATCATTCTTTCAAAGGTCAGCTGGAGCAGGTGGGTGAGAGGCTCAGGTCCCGAACTTGTGAGATTCTTAGACCTTCTGAGATGCCCGTGGATCACCAAGGCATGGAGGGCTCATGCTCAGGCCTAAATCCAAGGCTGAGGCCAATGAGCTCCAGCCTCAGGGCTGTTAGGAAGCCTTTGTCTCTCTGACTGCCCTGTGCCTCAGTTTAACCATCTGTAGGTGGGAAAATGCAGAGGCCTGGGCAGTGGGCCAAGGGCGTGCAGGGCTGCTCCTTATGGGAAGGAGAGACGAGCTGTCCTCCCTGGAAGGAGTTACCACTCAAGTGGCTGCAGCCCTGGAACTGAGACTCTTCTGGGAGAGTGGAAACATCGGTCCCCAGTTCCTCTCCCCTCCTGACACAATTCCATAGGGCGGGAAGGCAGACAGCGTCTGACTTGTCTATGAACTGAGTGTCCAGTATGGGCTGACTCTTGGTTTACATTTGCTAGGGAACCTCAGCCGCCCACCCGCCTCCCTTCCTTCCTGGGTTGGCCACAGTGCCAACACCCCAGGCTAGTTTGGACTCTACAGTGCACGCCTACGGCATCTCACCCTCACAAGGGCTGAGTCTGTCTCTCTCTCACACATACACACACACACACAACCAAACCCGGCCCCTTGACTGCTGGGGGAAGCAGGATGGAGTTTTCCTGGAGACTCAGGTTTGGGACTGATCTCCAATGGAACCCACACCTCCTCTTCCTCTTCCAGCACCCAGCTCCCAGCCCCTGCCCACATACACACGCTGCTTCCTCTCTCTCTCTCCAGAGCCAGGACCCGTGGGTCTCTTCCTCCCAGGGTCAGTGGACTCAGGACCCCACCCCACCAAATGGGCTGTGTTCTTCCCCATGTTTGCCAGCCTGGCCTTCTTGGGAGGGGGCGAAGTGGGCCCTCCCAGAAAAGAGGGGCAGCATCCTCTTTGTGGGACCCTTCCAGGGCCCCTTCCTATTTCTGCAGCCCCACCTGCCCCAGCGTAGAGACCAGGAGGAAAGTAGGGGCGGTGGCCGGGACTGGCTCCTGGACAGCCATGAGACGGGTCTGGCCCACGTCGTAGGCTAAGCCATTTTCCACACTGTTGTGTGTGGTGCTGCTTTTGAAAACAGTACCCATGAAAGTGAGACAGCTGGCCCTGCGTGCATCCACTGTGTTAACACAGGGATGAGTGCCGGGCCTGCAACATTTTGATGCTGTGATTGGCTTGGTTGGGTCTCTTTCTCTGTTCAATTAGCTGCTGTATATTTGCATTGCTCTCAGACGAGACAGAGTCTCTGGTCTCCGGGGACTGTTTTCTCCTACTTTGCGGGGACCCTGCCCCAGCCTAGCCCAGCCAAGGGGTATGTGCAGCCTACTCCAATGCCTGGAGCCCTTCTTAGAAGAAAACTTCACATGCTGGGGACCTTGGAGAAGCTTGCAGCCTCGCCTTGGTCCTGACCTTGCAGCCTGGGGTCCAGGGCTGCCTGCAGCCCAGCTTCCCAGCACCTGTGCCCAGCCCTGGGCTCTCCATGGTGCCCTCTGAGCACCCAGCAGTGTTACAGTTGCTCCAGCCTTCTGCCAGCTTTACAATCCGTAACTTGAGCAGCTTTGCTGTACATGTGATGAAAACGTCACGTATGATGATAGAAACCCATGTACATAGCTCCGTGTACATATTTATACAGACACACGCATTCCTATTCCACAGACAGCACGCACGGCATCTCTTCGGCATTCTAAGTTCATGTTTTTTTAAATCCTTGGAAATACGGCTTTGGAAACCTTTTCTTCCCCTCCCTCTTTTCTATGTAATAAACATTCATGTGACCTTTCTGGTGCTTTCTCAAGTCCCTGTGTCCTCCTGTTTTCGGAAGCAGACGGATCTCCCTGGCACAAAGCCTTTGCTGTCAGCCTTTTTTCCACCATGCAGGCTGCGGCACCTCCCCAGGCCGGTCCTGCCCACTTCCCGGCCCTTCTTCCTGAAGGAGGGCTCATGCACCTGCCTCCTCCAACCACTGCGGCTCTGGCCATCGGTGGCTTTGCAGCTGGGAAGGTTTGTGCATTTGCAGAGTGGAGTCAGCAGGGCAGGTGTGCAGATGGAGCCCCTATCTGCCTGAGTGCTCCACAGGCTGACAGGGGTATGCCCATCACAAACATACATCGGTGAAGTCCTCTACTAGGTGAGGACCAGAGAGAGTGGTTGGAAATGTTTATAAGTAGCTGTTTAACCAGATGAGGGATGGTGCGGGAACCACAGGCCACTGCTGCCATCAGTAATTGGATGAAGACCTAGACCACTGATCAGGCTTGTGGATGAAGGGAATAAATATATTAGGTGAACAAATCAGAACCCAAAAGGCTCTTGACAAGCAGACACAGGCTAACAGGATGAAATCTAATCACGTTGCAATGAAAGTGTTGTGCCTGGAATGCGCAGCCCTCTGTCACGCCCGGGGAGGGCCTGACAGGCAGCTCAGTGCTCACCTGCCTCGTAATGGGGCTGACAGGACCCGTGGCCTGACTGCAGATGTGTGAGGAGTGGCTGACTCCTTCAGTGTGGCACCTGGCGCTGGTGCCGTGGTCTGGGCTGTGTGTGCTCAGATGGGGAGTGTTCAGGTGCCGTCCCTGCCACTCACATTCCGAGTGAAAGCCCCACCCTTTGCCCTTGGCTCAGGTCAGCCCAGGACCCTTGCTTGGGAAAGCTGCAGTCCTGGGTCCTGGTCCCCTTGCCCGGGGCATCCTGGCCCATCTACTGAGAGATGTTGCAGCTCGGGGCCTGCATGTGGCAGTGGCCCTGGGTCAGTCAGCTTCTAAGTACGACCTGTGGGGAGACCCCAAGTTCAACCAGGAGGACCCAGAGATGTCACATGTGCCTGGGGCTGACTCTGCTCATGGGCAAGACTGGGACTCAAAGCCCAAGGCGACAAAATGACCCAAAGCACTGTCAAGGTCATCCAGACACTCTAGGGAGCAGTTCTGGATGGTGAGCGTCTTCCAGATTCTCCGTGTGCTCAGAGGAAGGCGGGGATCCTCCTGGCCAGAGAACACTGCTTGTGCCATCGTAGGTTTCCGAGGGGCTGAGCGGAAGTTAGTGCCACCTCCAGCCTTGAGAAGGGCAGCGAAGACACCCCCCCTCTCAGGCCCTAACCTCTTAGCCTCAGGCAGGGTGACATGGGCTGAGCCAGCCAGAGCCTCTCTCCTTGACAGTAAGTAAGCCCCCAGCCCTCAGGCACTGGGAGGGGCGCATGGCTGCCTGCAGCCAGCACAGGAGGGCTACGTGAAGATGCCCTGGGACAAGAGGTCAGTGGAGGAGGCAAGAGTGAGGCTGGGTTTGGGGACAAGACTGTGGCTCCTTTCTCAGCCAACTGCCTTCCAAGGAGTGGTGGAGCCCAAGCCTGGGGCTGGGAGGTTCCTGGTGGGGAACCCTGTGCAGGCCGCTTATGGCGCCACCAAACCAAGACAGACATTTCCGGGCTCCCTTCCGGTTGTGAACAACCATGATCCTCGTCGCTCCTTGTTTACAGAGCGCTTTGCTCCTTCCTGCAGACATGCCAACAGAGCCGGCTTTCACCGGGTGTCTACTGGGCGTCCACTGTGTTCTTTCATCATCACAAACCTAGCAGGCGGTTGATGCTTGCCTCATCCATATCTGAGGACCCAGGAACAGAGAAGCTGAGCCACTTGTCCACAGGCTCACAGTGGGTTAACGGCAGGACAATAGATGGCCCTCATGCACCACTGCCTCTCCTCCCTTGTTGGAAGACACTGGCTTGAACCCATGACCGGATACCCTTCCAGAAATGGTGGCCGAGGCACTGCCAGCCCATGTGACGACAGAATTAGGTGGTCCTTTCACCTGGAACATCACCTGTTCTGAGCACACCTGCCTAGGCTCACTGGGGTGGCAGGAGGGAAAACATCACGCTCGCTGTGCAGTATGGGCTGACTGTTCCCCAGGCTCATGGTCCAGGGTAAGACGAGGGAGGAGAGGTCCCCGACTCTCACTGCTTAGCACAGCTGGGGAGGTAGGACAGGAGCCCTCACACTGTGGTCTCCCCTGCTAGAGAAATGGAGACAAAGCAGCAACACTGCCACCCATTCACAAACATGTCGCCATGCCACCTGGCTGAACCAAGGCCATGGTGAGCCTGCTACAGCCTCATGCAAAGAACACAGCCTCTGAGCAGGAAGCAGGGGTCTGCTCCCGGAAGAGGTAGGCCTGTCCCTGGCATGTAGCTCCCCTCCCTGGGCCCCAGCTGAGGGCCTGGCCCTAACCCCCAGCTGGCCAGCAGCTTGTGAGATGCCACAATGGAGAACTGCCAGAGGGGGTCACCAAGGCCCTCTTCTCACATGGGGCCCATTATGAGCCCAATTATATCTTGCTCCCCAAATTCATATATAAAGATCCTAATCCCCTTATTATTTATTATTTTATTTGAAAGGAAGACAGATCTTGTATCTGCTGATTCACTCCCCCAAATGTCTGCAATAGGCTTGGCTGGGCCAGGTGACAGCTAGGAATCCAGAACTCCATCCAGTCTCCCATGTAGTTGTCGGGACCCAAGTATTTGAGCCAGCACATGCTACCTCCCAGGGAGCACATTAGCAGGAAGCTGGAACCAGGCACTGCAGTGGAATGTGGGCATCCCAAACAGTATAGGATGTCTCAAGAGGTGATGACTCTAACCTGAGGTCACTAAGGTGGGCCCTTATCTAGTGTGACCAGTGTCCTTACAAGGAGAGGTCAGAACAGACATCCACGGAGGGAAGGCCTATGGAGACAGTAGGGCTGGACAGAGGCCTCGGAAGGAACCAGCCTAGCTGACAACTTGGTCTCCAACTTCCAGCTTCCCAAAGTGTGGGCAAAAGTCTCGGGAAGTGCTGCCATATGAGCTGTCTGGTCTGTGGTGGCACCAGGAGTGCCCAGGACACTGCAGCTCTTTAGTGGTGCACAGCTGTGCAGCTGCTCTGGGGCCAGGGGCCCCTCTGCATCCTTGGGATAAACCTGGGGACCTGGGTGGTCAGAGGAGGCCTTGTCTTTGCTGGGATGCTTGGTGAACAGCCCCTTGGGTCAGTGTCTCTGCCAGCTGGACACTGGGTTTGGGGTCCCCACTTGGGTGGAGCTGTCAGAGGAAGGGGAGGCCTGTGTTCAGAGCAGGCCCCTGCAGCTGTCTCCCAGCCAGAGGGGTGGATGTTTATAATCTCACCAAAACAAGCTATGCTGGGGTGGGTGTTTAGCATGGTAGTTAAGATAGCCCTGCAATGCGATCCACATTGGAGTACCTGGTTTCCAGTCCTGGCTGAAGCTCCTGACTCCAGCTTCCTGCTAACTAATGTGCACCCTGGGAGGCAGTAGTGATGGTTCAAGTATTGGGGTCCCTGCAACCCATGGGAGAGCTGGATTGAGTTCTCAGCTGCTGGCTTTGGATCGCCCAGTCCCAGCCATTGCAGGCATTTAGGGAATGGACTCTCTGTTTCTGTCTCTCTCCCTGTGTGTGTGTGTGTGTGTGTGTGTGTGATTTTCAAATAAGTAAATAAAAATTTTGTAAAAAGCTATGTCAAAGATAAAATTATAGAAAACAAAGAAACTTCTGAAAGTAGGAATGTCACAAGCTTCCTTGAGAAACTGTCCCCACCTTGTGAGGGTCCAGGCCAGGAAGGGGGCCCCAGAGGAAGACGACAGAGGATTCGCCTCTGCTGTCGGCTTCTGTAAACACCTGGAACACAGCAGGATGCTTGGGAAACACCAAGGAGGCAATGGCCAAGTTTTACAGTGTCGTTGCTTTGAGCTGCTGTCCTTGAACTGGACAGTGCCCCAGTCTGCACCTGCAGTCTCTTGGAAGCCCCTCTCCTCACCAGCCCTGCTCAAGTTCCACCTGACTCCCCAGACCCAGCCCAAGGCCATGCCCACAGGAATGACCAAGGGCTGATCTCTTCTCTGCTGTCCACTTCCTTTCAATGGGCCTGCTCCTCCCCTGCCCCCATGTGATTCTGGGTGAGACTGCTATTCCCAGAACCCACCCATCCCTGAGCAAGGAGGGCCTGGGCCCCAGCTGGCCCACAGCACATCCCTCTCCTTGAGCTAACCTGGAATGACCCGAATCTGTCCTGAGCTCTCCCTAACCAGGGTTCTGGGGAGGTGATGATTCTCCCTCCTCCATCCTAAGGCAGTAGTGGTCAGCATAAAGCCACGCACAGACACAGCCGAGGTTCCACCTGGTGGAGCAGGGTGCCAACAGGCAGAGATGGGGAGCACTGTCTTACTCTGCCATCCCAAGGCCAGTTCCAGCCCTCCCAACCCACAGTTTCATTTCTGGAGCCACCTGTGCCTCCTCTCCCCATTCCCTCCCCTCCAGCCTCTCCTTCCCTTCTTCTCCTCCCCTTCTCTTCTCTTCTTCCTCTCTCTCTCCTTGTTCGTTCACTGTTTGTCCTGTCCAACAAGCTGGTTCAAGTTGTTTGACCAGTAACAAGAAAAAGTCCTAGCTAAGAACCCACTCCCCAAAGCCTCCATGGCTTGTTCTGTCTTCACTGTCCCCCCTCCCCACCTAAGAGCACAGCTGAGCCACCGCAGGGCACCAGACCCCCACAAGATCATCACTCACCCACATCACACACGCACAGACACACACACTCTCTCCCTCACACACACATATACACACTCACACACTCTCACCAGGCCTGGGCACGCCTGTGATCACTTCCATGCACCATGCATGTCAGATAAGGCACTTACATGTCTCCAGTTTTCATCTCCCTCCAGCCCCGCCCCCTCCATTCTGTCTCCACCTGTCCCCTCCTTGGCCTCACATGATGAGAGCAGGGAACAGCATGT